GGTCTTGGAAGACCGGAAGCTGTGTGGTTCATAAAAACATGTTCTTACTCAATATCAAGCCACGATTATTGTTTTTAATTTTAAATCGTATAATGTCTGACTTTTTTTGCCATCCGTGAGGATAATAAATGGGGCTCAGAGCCTCAGAATACTGAAATCTCTATTTTAAAAAAATCTTTTTTTCCTTCTAATTTGTTATTCTTTTCTAAATAACACACTTCCAAGACCCGACCGGACGAAAAGACGTGTTGCAGGCACGAAACACACTACCAATAGAAATACATTGCTTTTAAAATCGTTCTGTGTGACACGAAAAAAGGGGAAAATCGTGATGGTGAACACAAATCAATAGATTAAATGTCGTGAGACTGTGTTGTTTTATACCAGAGAAACTTTCATAACAGCGTTGTGATGCCAAACAACATCAATTCATACTGACACACATTCACTTGAGGGGAATTGGGGATGGGGTATATTTATCAGCAGCTTGTGTGACAGTCAGAGAGTGAATACTTTACAGCCGCCGCCGCCGGGAGTTAAGGGGAGAATAAACTCTGGTGGACGAGCAGCACTGCAGCGGTCGGTAAATGCCGCTGAAACACATTAATAAACAATGAACGAAGGCACTCTGGAGAAAAGTATAAGGTTGGAGAAGTAGTTATTTAATTTAATCTGGCTTCGTATGATTAAAAGCAACACGATCATCGACCCGACGCAGTCCCCCATTGTTGTTGTTGTTGTGAGCGCCGTTGGGGAGAAAATCAGTGACTTAAACAGTGACGTCATGACGCAGCAGCGGCAGCACCAGTCGGGCTCTTGTGTGAACACAACGGGGGCTGAAAATAAAAAACGGTTCCGAACCAGAAAAGCTCTAGCACGGAGCTAGAACGGGAGCTGCGTTGGTGTGAAAGGGGCATAAGAGATGGTTCTCACTCAAGTTAGCTTGTTATTCAAATCCTAAAGGCCTAAAATATCAAAAACACTAGTGTGTTCCTGTATCTTACCTAAATGACCTAAACCAATACAAAGAACACACCAGGCCTAGAAACCGGTCCGAGAGAGGGAACCTGCTGTCCCAGGCTCACCAGCCTCTACAGCTTCATTTAACTGGGGGAGAGTGTGTTCCTATTAAAGGATTCTAGTACCCCTTCAAAAAAGGAGAAAAAATAACAAGAACCAGAGACGGAGATAGAAGCCTGGTAAATACGTGTGTGGTCATGCATGCATGTTGCATAGACAAATGTTTCATATCTCAGACTCAGTGTAGATGGAGACAGAGGAGAAAGCCCAGAAGTCCTCACCTGGCTGTCCAGGTAAATAAGGTTCCTCTGGAGGTGATGAGAGAGAACATCCGTCTGCAGGAGGTGCAGAAGAAGAAGAAGAAGAAGAAGAAGAAGAAGAAGAAGAAGAAGAAGAAGAAGAAGAAGAAGAAGAAGAGAGGAAGCAGGAAGTGACAGGACAAGGAGGGAAAGGATGAAGAAGATGTCAAAGGCACATTTTCAAAAGGAAGAAATATAGCATCAGAAGGGAAGGCAGAACATGTGATGTCAGAGGGTCATTACCATGGCAACGCTACATATTTTATTTTCTGTCATTCACTTTTCAGTGAAAGTAATACCAGGGAACATGTTTTAGCTGCCTCTACTTAACCACAGTTTATTTATCATAACAACAATCCTCCTCCAACTATAACCAGACTGTAGTTGTAATGCACAGATGATGGAGAAAGGAAGAGTTTTAAAAAGGTTGGCATTGAACGGATAAACACCTCATTCAATAATAAACTGGATTTAGCAGAATCCTACAGAGAAGTCGTGTTAGATGTGAATAGTGGACGGTAGTATTGTAGTACTCGAGACCGGTCTTGGTCTCAAGACCACTATTTAACGGTCTTGGTCTTGTCTTGGAATCGACCGCATTTGGTCTCGGTCTTGTCTCGGTTGTCTTGGTCTTGTCTCCCGTTCTTATTATACATCCATGGTCGAGACCACAGCTGTTGCTGGGGATGTGATTGGATGTAAAAAGCCCTGTTAAAAAAATTCAACTAATAACGTGACTGTCACGCTCCTAAGTTCATGTCACGTTTATAATTTTGTAGGTTCGGGTGTTTTTGCTGGTTTCCATGTCATGTTTTCTCTGGGTTATTGTCTGGTCCTTTTCCCTGTGTTTTTCTTCTTGTCATTAGTTCCCTGGTGTGTCTAGTTTTCTGATTGTGTTCACCTGTGGCCCTTGTGTTTCTCCTCCCCTGCCCAGCTGTTTCTTGTCTTGTGATTACCCCTCCCTGTATTTAGTCTTGTCTCCTCCTGTGTTCAGTGTTGGTGCTTCTTTTGTTCATGACTTAGTTCACCGGAGAGTGTTTTGTTTGTTCCAAGTTTACTCTAGACCTTGAAATAAACGTGTTATCAAATGTTATCTGCGTTTGGGTCCTACCTGCTTCACTCGGCGTATCAGAAAGCACCAACCTTGAAATGGGCCCAGCAGATCCGTTCGAGCTGGAAGTATTGAACTTTTCCTTTTTTTTGGCTAACTGCTCGGATCGATGGAAGAGAGCACCCGGAGTTCAGCAGCGAGAGGCTGTTTTATCGGAGGCGCGCCAGATGGCTAGAGAGAAACCAGGTTTGGTGAAGTTTTTACCTGGCTGGATTTCAAAGATCCTCCCGATGTGTGATTCCCGGCCTGCTAGCCCCAGGCATGCTAGCTCCCTGTCTCCCAATTCCCAACCTGGTACCATACGCCTCGGTGGGTTCCTTCTGAAGTCAACCCATGCTTCTGCCCCAGTTCCTGCTCCTGTCCAGGAGTCGTATTCCGGAACTCGTTGGGCTTATGGAGGTCCACGGAGTATTCAGGCGGCTGCGAAGAGAAGGAGTCGCAAGGCCAGGCTAGCAGCCCGAGCCCCAGCAGCCATGGTTCCGGCTACAGAACCGACCCACACAGCCATGGTTCCAGCCCCAGTTCTGGCCCCAGCAACCATGGTTCAAGCCCTCTCTCAAGTTCCCTCTCGAGTCTCCTCTCGAGTCCCTTCTCAAGTCCCCTCTCAAGTCTCCGTTCAAGTTCCCTCTCAAGATCCCTCTCAAGTCATCTCTCAAGTCAACTCTCAAGTTTCCTCTCGAGTCTCCACTCAAGTCCCTTGTCCTGTGTCATTGGAGGTTCCGCTGGGGGTCCTGCCAATCCTATATCCTGTGCCGTTGGAGGTCCCGCAGACTGCTCTTCTGCCGGGGGTCCTGCCAACTCCATGTTTTGTCCCGTTGGAGGTCCCGCAGACTGCTCTTCTGCCGGGGGTCCTGCCAACTCCATGTTTTGTCCCGTTGGAGGTCCTGTAGACTGCTCTTCCTGCCAACCCCATGTCATGAGCCGTTGAAGGTCCCGCAGACTACTCTTCTGCCGGGGGTCCTGCCAACTCCATGTCTTGTCCCGTTGGAGGTCCCGCAGACTGCTCTTCTGCCGGGGGTCCTGCCAACCCCATATCCTGAGCCGTTGGAGGTCCCGCAGACTACTCTTCTGCCGGGGGTCCTGCCAACTCCATGTCTTGTCCCGTTGGAGGTCCCGCAGACTGCTCTTCTGCCGGGGGTCCTGCCAACCTTATGTCCCATGCCGTTGGAGGTTCCGCCGACTGCTCTCCTGCCGGGAGTCCTGCCGGCCCTGTGTCCTCTTCCGTGGGGGATCTTGCCGACACCGGCTCCTGCCCGGCCTCCGGAGCTGTCCGGTCTTCGCCCTAGGGCCCGGTCCCCTGAGTTCGCCCGCTGTGGTCTTCACCCCTCCTCGAACTCTGTCTTGCCCCCGGGCCGTCCGCCCGAGACCCTCGCCTCGAACTCTGCCTTGCCCCCGGGCCGTCCGCCCGAGTTCCCTTCTTTGAACTCTGCCTTGCCCCCGGGCCGTCCGCCCGAGTTCCCCTCCTTGTTTTCTGCCTTGCCCCCGGGCCGTCCGCCCGAGACCCGTCCTCCAGACCCCCTCCACACACCCTGCTGGACTTTGTTTTTTGGGACGTCTGGAATCCAGCTGTTTCTTGACTTGTGATTACCCCTCCCTGTATTTAGTCTTGTCTCCTCCTGTGTTCAGTGTTGGTGCTTCTTTTGTTCGTGACTTAGTTCACCGGAGAGTGTTTTGTTTGTTCCAAGTTTACTCTAGACCTTGAAATAACGGTGTTATCAAATGTTATCTGCGTTTGGGTCCTACCTTCTTCACTCACCGTATCAGTGACTTCACGTGACTCTGAATCTTTGCCTTCATGCGCCACAATGTTTGTAAACAGGGCACTGGTCTATACCGGCTGTTACCCCCCCACCTCTCGCCGTTCACACACACTCAAACGGTCTTGCAGTGAAGATGTCGCAAAGTGTGTGTGTGTGTGTGTGTGTGTGGCTTACGAGCTTTCAGTGACGCAAACTCCTGAGTGTGAGAGAGAGGGGGAGAGAGAGAGAGAATGTGTGTGTGTGTGTGTGTGTGTGTTAAAGGATTTTCCTTCATCCTGTGTGTGTTTGTCTACAAAAGTAGTTCCTCGTTGGTTTGATTTTTTTTTGTTGCCTAGACCTATATACCGTAAAAAGGATATTATGATGTTATACATGATATTGTAAGTGTATCATGTAGTGTTGGATTCATAGTAGTCTGGTTCCGGTCTTGACTCGGTCTCGCCCTGCCTTGGTCTTGATCTTGACTTGGTCTCGACCTCTTATGGCGCGTTTCCACTGCAGCGCGGAGCTCGCTTTAAGCGTGCCGAGCCGTTCGGGGCCTGTTTTTGGTTGCGTTTCCACTTGGCCTAGTACCGGCTAGCGGGTCCTAATTCACAGTTTTTCTGGCCCCATAAAATCGTGGTTCTGGGGCCAGAAACAACCAGGCTGAGTCGGGCTGAGTATGCTAAACTAGAGAGAGAATCGCTGGCAATGGGGCCACAACTACAACAAGATGAACATATTTGACCGTGATTTAATTGTAATACACGTTTCAAAATGATGCCGAAGTAACAACATACTGATACCGGTTAGTAAAAAACATGAATTAATGCTTTGACAAGTCTACAGACAGATGGCAGGCGAAAAACCTTTAAAATGTGCGTTGTCTAAATGGAGATCGGCTAAGCTAACGCAATATATGCTCCGACCATCCACACTCACAACAACGGCCTACAGACATAAATAAACCAGCGACTGTATTTGCCATGACACAGACAGTCTGTGGTTTGTACTTGTTTAACTTTTGTCTAGTTTTTGAACAGATATGAGGAGCTGTGAGCTTGAGGGCTAACGGCTGTGTTATTTTTCTGGGGCTCTCATTGAAGATGACGTCACGGCTCCGCCTGACACTGCGTTACTATAGATACTACCCCAGTTCCTAAACTGTAATGTGAGCGCAGCATTAAAGTGAGCCGGTCCTAACAAGGCCTAGCCATACCGAGCGAGGCCGAGCGAGGCCGTGTAGAGCCGTTGAAG